AGACAAATAATGTGTTCTTGTATGAGAGGAAAAGTTTTAAATGTAGGGTGTTAATTAATGATAACATATTTGAGAGGGAACTTATTCTTGTGCAATAAGGGACAAATTGTGAAGAGTACCAAATTGTATAAACCTAACATATTATTAGGAAATGTTACCCAAAATGAAGCACAAGGCCTGGATATGGTAAAGCCCTATTGTTTATGAATATCATTCGTTAGTTTTTGAGTTATGGCAGGATGAAGGTAGCAATTGTTAACACTCCTCTTTATACTAAACTAGCTGGCCCGATCCGCGTTGCCGGCCCGAACTTTTAGTCTTTAATGCATATTGTTTAAAGCATTATAAATCAAAGATCTGACTTAAGTCACAATTTTTATAATAAGTAATGACTTCATAGTAATTTATAAATAGAAATAGATATTCATGGCAAAAATTATAACAGATGTTCACCTACAGTCGGTTTTAGATATTTTGAATAGTCTGATCTAAATTTTTCAGCCATAGGCTTTATCTTGAGTGTTAAAAACGTATATGATAAAATGGTCAATTCAAATCAATTGATGAATGTGATCAAGACCAAGATGGGCCCCACTCCGAAAATGGGAAATTGTATGCAAAGGGTTTTTCTACCCCCTTAGAAACAAAGATTCTAAAAAAGGGCAAAAAAATTAAGGAAGTGGCAAGACCCCAAAAATAGCTTAAATCACATGATGGTTTTACCAAAACGTGATCAGTTTTTGCGAGGATAGTTTCTTCTCGAATTACCAACATTTGCCAATATTAGTATGAATAATATGGTTAAAATGTAAAATATACTTTAAGTCGAGTTGTATTTTTATCCGGGGTTATGACTCATCACCTGCAAAAGCGATTTAAGGTATCTTGAAAGTTTAGAACGAATTTCTGGAAGGATAGAAATTCGCTCTATTATTTTGGTCCCTTTTTATAAACTCAACATAATCCTTGTTTTTTCAGTAAACGGACATACTTCCCATGGACATTATGTCATTTTTCGAAGCAGACATAATTCCCACTTTTTTATGGGGTTATAGAAAAAAATCGGACATAATCCCTATAGTTGCAACGGTGATTATGTCCGGGCAACTATGTTTTATGTTGTTGATAGACATTCCATTTTCGTATTTGCCCTAATTAGATAAAAATGGGAAGAAAATCAGACACTGATTTTCCAGGATCAAAAAAAGCCAAATTTGGTTTGAGAAGTCTATTATTTTTATATGAGATAAATCAAGACGTACACAGGGTCGGACCACTGGCGCCATTTTCATTATTTTGCATTTAAAAAAATACTTTTTATTCCCTCAGCCATATGGCTACTGAGGGTATACACATGCCCGCATATTTCTACGTACAGTGGCAACAAATTGAAATTTAAAATGTATCCACACATTTCCAGACATGTATGGAGCCAAAACATATTTTATTTCATTTCCAATATATATCTCTTAAATATAATTGTATTTTCATGGTTTTCGCCACATTTTTTAACGGATTTGTCTAAAAATTGGTATTTGTTGGTCATAATGAGTTCTAGCTCCGGTGGCGAAACATTGCATGTATAGGTCCACGATATGGTATAGCCCCCATATAATGGTACCTCCCGATATTCGGTATTTTGATGGGTTTTGTCACATTTTTTCACGGATTTGTCTATAAATTGGTATTTGTTGGTCATAATGGGTTCTGACTGCCGTGGCGAAACATTGTATGTATAGATCCTCGTTTTGGTATTGCTCCCATATAACGATACCTCCAGATATTCGGTAAGGTGGAGGGTATTAAAAGTTTGACCCTAGGTCACGACCGGTGTGCGAATCCTGCTTGCAAGTAAGTCCCATAAATGCTTGATAGAATTAAGATCCGGTGATTGGGGAGGCGTTCGTAACTGATCTTTCCATCTTACTTCATCCGAAAAATGACCCTGTTCCAGAACTCTGGAGGCTTGGATACATATATAATTGCCAAATCCATTCGCTTCTGCTATATGGCTTCTGATAAATACGGCTTCATACGGGATATTGGCTACTATAACCAGCTTTGCTAACAGTCAGAATTCTGCAGACAGTTCATGGGAAATAACTTTTGAAAACCTTTCCTCAACCTCAAGTTTCAGTTGCTGAGCAGCTACACTTGGGTTTAGGTGCACTAACTGAACGATACGCTTTTTTGGACTTGTTAATATAAATGGACGACCAGACCAATTATTTGGCAAGATGGAACCCGTCGAAACATAATAAAGAAAGAATACATCGCTATTTCATTCTTTCTCTGTCCATAACCATATGGATACAGAGGGTATATAGAGGGTGAGATAAAAAACTGCAACCACCTTCGGACTGTTGTTATTTTAAGCTACACCGACAGCTGTTAAAATTATTCCAGTGACAGCTCATTATATGGTTTACAATCGTACAAAAGCATTTTGGTGAGAATTTTCCAGAAAAAAAGTTATTCGTGATGGAATTCAAACGTGATAGTGTGATTTCTTATATATTGGCATGGAAAACCACAAGTGGCTATCGTTAGAGCACTCCAGCATTTAATTGTGAATAAATATTTTGTGTGTCGTACCATCGCTCGTTACCGTGACACTGGTATCGTAGCCCGACGTCAAGGAAGTGGACGGAAGAAAAACAGCAACATCAGCAGAAATGGTTCCAAAAGAAAAGAAGCGACTTGATCGAAACCCGCGTGGCAGTGGCCGGAAAATGGCTCGTGAGCTGAACATATCACAATATTCCATTCGGCAAATATTGAAAAAAGATTTAAGGGTAAAGCTTTTTAAATTCCAAAAAGTACAAGAATTTACACCGCAACAGAAAGAAAATAGACCCAAAAGAGCTAAAGAGCTGCGCTAAACCGAAAGTGGTGAACTGCCGAATTTGGTTTTCTCCTATGAGAAAACATTCGTTGTACAGCAGTTTGTAAACAAAAAAAATGATCGTGATTACTTGCCAAAGAGGTCAGCAGAAAATGCGCACTTTCCGTTGGCCACCAAAACTCAAGCGCCGGCCATTGTGATGGTGCGGGCCGCCATAACTCTCCGCTCGTATTAATCGACCGTGGCATCAAAATAAATGCCGAATATTATCACGAAAATATTCTGGAGGGTGTATTTAAGCCTTGGGCACGCAAACATTTTGGCCGCAGACCTTGGACATTCACACAGGAATCGGCACCATCGCACTCAGCAAGAGTGTAACCCAAGAATGGTTACAAAATGAGGTTCCTCGCTTCATTTCCAGCGCACAATGGCCTCCAAAATCGCCGGATACCAATCCGTTGGACTATTGTGTCTGGAGTATTTTGGAAATCAAGGTTGGTACTAGAAAATACCAAAGGATCGATCACCTTAAGCAAGCGCTTCTCCGGGAATGGGCCAAAATACCGTAGAGCAACATTCGGGCAGCGTGTGATAGTTTCATTGGCCCATTTTAGGGCATAATTCGTGCCAAAGGTAATAAAGTCGGACAAATCTGAACTTATTCTAAAATTTGATGAAAATTTCATTCAAAAAATTTTAAAAAAATGTAAATAATGGCGTTTGGTTTCGTTGCTTTTTTTATCTCACCCTGTATGATTTAATACGGCCAAAACGTGCCTCATCGAAGCAACGGGTTTAGACCCTCGGTCTCATTGGATCAAATGCAGAGCATTCTAGGGGTGCCCGTCCGTCTTGCCCCCGGGTACGCACGAAGGGATTATCCGATTCGAAGGGAGTATCCGATTTGATCCAAACTTTTCACATCGAAATAATATTGCCAAACTTAAGTCGGGTTCGGAGATGGATTATGACCGATATTTAATGCATATTTAATGATTGCCATAAGTTTTATAAAATAATTCCAAGATGTGGAGTTTGGGCTACATCGTGGAATCGTCTTTTTCATAAATCGTGGACTCCGACCTTTTTATAAGTATGCAAAATTTGATCGAAATCGGTTTAGATATAGCTATATTGTTCATTCGACTTGTTATTTTTGTCAACCGCAGCCGCAATATGCACTCTGTAACAAGAATATTTGGGGAAATATATCAAATACAGGTCAGAAATACATTTGCCAAATTTTATCGAGATCGGTTCAGATTTGGATATAGCTCCCATATATATCTTTATCCGATTTCAAATTAATTGTGCACCAAATGGGCAATACAAGTTCGAATTTAAAAGATACAAATACGTCGGCATATTTAGTCGTTTGAACTTTAAATTATAATTATAATCATAGCGTGTATGATTGAATTCTCCCATAAAAACTTTTAATTGGTATGCGGAGCCCTACTAAATTAGCAAAGTGGTGTAGGGTATCATAAAGTTGGCCCAGCCCGACTTTAAGACTTTCTTTACTGGTTATATGTGTTTTATGGTTTTACAAAATGTTGACCGTTTGTGGGGGACTTACCCGTAACATTGACTAATATTTAATCCGGTCACAAATACTGATTTTTTATCATTATTATGGAGTTGCCATAATTGTGCTCGATTTAGCCTATTTTCAAACCTGTAATGGAATATTAAAATTCATTTCTGATTTACCGACAAAGATCGTTAATTTCACTGCTCCTTTCAAATAATCAAGTGATAGTCTTAGCCATTTGGCTACAGAGTCATGTCATGTCATTTGATATGTCATTTGATATGGCCAAATGTAACTTTTAGACTATAAGTATCTTTAAACGAAATAATTTTTACGTCATTTGGAGTGGATGTAACGATGTTTGTTAGTCTGCCTTTTGATTGATGGTGGGCACGATAACTCCCGAAGGGGAATTAAATTTTTTGTCCAAATTTTGTACACCGGAATATTTCTATCGAAATTAGACCGAGATCGAAGATTCCAAAACAGGTTAATATTTTCAAAAAAAAAAACATATAACTTCTTACAGTCACTTAAATACATGTATTTCTTATTTGCTTTGTGATTTGTAAATAAATTAACGTACATTTTTGATATTTAAAATTTCTGTCTGTCTTTCCTTCATGACATAAACTACTTCAAAATATTTTCATATTTTTTTGGCTGTATTTTCGTTAGAATTTTTTTCTCGAAACTATCGAAATTTGTCGTATTTTTAAAGAGATTGTCTTAATTCCAATCAAAATGAAAGTTACCCAATGTCTGCCACCAAAGAGTCCATATCACAAACGTGATTTCAGCGTATGCCGGGAACCACACGACTTCGATCCTCTGTTTAAGGAAAATGTCAACGATATTGCTGACACTATGAGTGAGGTAAGCTTGGGTCATTTCATTCCATGGACTCGCCTAATCGGTTATTCTCCCCCGAGTGCAGATTATGATTGTATGTGGAATCCATCGTTGCAAGGCTAAACTGACCAAGGGAATTGTGGTAAACGCTTTTCAGTTCTATGACACGAAACGTCATCGAGTTGAAAGTTCGGAAAATGAAAATAGCATTTATCGCGAACAGATTGTGGGGCAATTCGAACGCGACTGTCAAATGACCAGAGTTGAGGCGCTGCTAGCTTATTGCATTATCAAGAGGGCAATCAAAGCTTTTTACCACGGCACCCCTGATCACAGTATTCGCAACCCGATTCGAGAAGCAGTTATCCTTAAGGAGCAAGAGTTCATATGGTTACATGCCGCACGACGCACAATTTTGCTCTTCGGGCGTTATTCTCATTTATTTTTCAATGCTCAGCGAAATTATCCCACTCAAATATTGAACATCTATAAAGGGCTTCATGGCCGCATCAGTGATCGTGCTGATCCCGTTATCATAGAGGATTATCATCCAAGAGGATGTGTGAAGAAAATTATACATGGAACAAGATCTCCGCCCAAGGGAGGTAATAAAACACCAAAATGTGTTGACAAGTGCCAAAAGTCAGCCGAACTGAGGGAATACATTGAAAATTTACCGCCCAAAAGATGGCCAATAGAAAGTCCCCTTACCCCATCCAATGCTGCTCCATTGGCTTGCCATAATCAACGCATTAATGAACCTGGGGTTACTCCCCCAAATAAAAGAAAGGAAATAAAAAATAAAGATCTCAAAGTGGAGCGCTGCTCGCAATGCAATTGTCCCAAACTCATGTGTGATTGTGACATTGACCCTGACACAGGAGTTGTGGCGATTGATTGTAGTCAGGGCCCCTTTGAATGCCAATGGGTTAGGATGGACAAAGAAGATAGGCCAGATCCATGCATTGAAAAACCTGAATTCCACCAATGTCCAATAGATTGCGATCGAAGAGAAAATTCCAGCAGTGATTCCGATTCGTCGGAATATTGTGAATGTTCGGCAGAAAGCGAAAAGGATGTGGATGAGAGCGATAGCTTTGATTCGTATAAAACGCAGGAGGAGTACGAATCATCCGATAATGAGAAAAATGCAGTCAAAACTATGGCAAAAAATTTACCCAAGAAACGAAGCACAAATATTTGTCAACGGCGAGAAATTAGTCAAACTCCCGCAAAAGCTGTAGAAATCAAGGCCAATGATGATGTGGTAAATAAAATTTAATTAAATGTGTAAAAGATAGTTAAATAAATTTCAGTGTGAACTATGGTTCCACATAGAGTAATAATCCATAAGTAGTGCTTTATTTACATTTAGGTGACTGCAACAGACATTCGAACGTTAAATTATCCTAAAATTAAGGCTGATAAATGTTTTATGTCTGTCGCAGTAACGATATCTCGATATCTCAGCATATTCTCGAACATATTTGTTCGGTTTCAGTGTTTCGGGAGGTTTCAGCATAAATAACGGGGAAATTACCGGTAATATGAAATTTTGATCTCTGAATATATTCTGAAGGTTGCGCAAAGTTTTTCTTACGAATCTGGTTTTAATTTGGTATAAGTATTCAACTTCTTAGTCCGAAGTTTTCAAAATAGTTTCATGTTAAATTTTCAAAATCCTTGCTAAAAACAAAGGGTATATATCTCTTAATACGACAAAAATGTGCCTGATCGAAATAACGGCTTAGGACCCAAGGTACATCTTGGTACATCGTAATACTATTTTCAAACTTAGATCGATTTCGGAGATGGTCCATTTCTTCTGATGCCTCCCGAAGGTCAACATTTTTACAGGAAATAATATACCATATATAATAAGATAGAATCATCCGATTTTTTTCAAACTTTGCACATCTTCAATCAATATTTGTATCGGTGCAAAAATAAACAAGTACAGGGTTGCCCATATTCAACGGACCTTTGGGCCCTTTGGGCCCATTCTATTCGACGAGGCTTGTCCGCAGGCAACATTTTTTGCATCAATTGAATTTTGTACGGGAACAAATGCAAATCAATGCGAATAATCCGTTGTAAAGTGGACCGAGCCATGCCCAACTGCTGAGAACGGCGTTTTTGGGATGTTCTTGGGGACCTCTCAACACTGGCTCGTACGGCAGCGATATTCTCGGCCGGTCGCCTTGGTCGACTTTTATATGGCCTCTTCGGATTAGAATGAGCCTTACCAGTCGGAAATTTTTCGTTCTTATAAGGCGCACTTCTCACATTTTTTAATGTTTTAAAAGCACGTTGAGTTTTCACAATTGACTTCTTGTAAATTTCAACTATTTCAGAGCGCTCGCGTGGCGTGTATTGCTTCATGGTAAAAATCTGCTTAGACTGACGCTTCAAACGCGGTATGTCATTAAGCGATGTGACATCTCTGTCAAAAGTTATGGCGTTGCCAGATGGGTCCGTCGAATATGGGCAACCCTGTAAGCAAAGGCTATAGTCGAGCGGCCGACCATGTGATACCCTACAACACTGAAATATGTTCGAAGTTTCCTTATATCCAAATCCATTTTTGAAGGAACTCTGCCCAGACTCGGAGAATTTGGCCAATATTCACGTACTCCGTCGTGTTGTATTCAAAACAATTTCACACGAAATGGTCATCCAAAATGCTAGACTTCTCCCCTGTCCTTAACTCTCTTCTGATTAGTTTTCAATTTGTGGCGACTACAAATTAGAAATTTTAATTTTTTAGCCATTTGAACCCCTATAGAAGAACACTAGGCTTTAATTCTGACCCTAACGCTACCCCCATGCAAAATTTCGTGAGGATCGGACGATAATTGCAATATACATATAATACCCTCAAAGCGTAGTGTTGAGAAGTGTAAAAATTTAGAAAATTTTCAATTCAAAATTGTAAGTCAAATTGAAAAAAATCGCATGCGATAAAAAATATGACATAAATTGAAAAAAAAAAATGGAACAAAAGATTTTCACTCATTTATGGTATATTTTTCCGCGATTTCTCAGATTTTATCCTTTTCTGACCAGAGACCATTCCGAATTGAGGGGAATTGTGAAAATCGGACCAGCGGTTCTTGACTTATAAGCAGAATAAATAAGATCTTTTCTTTTACATTTAAATTGTTCCTATTTTGCTATATATCCAATTTCTTGGCTATCAGCATCGTCTTAATGGGCAGGAGTGACCTTTTAATGTATTTGTGATTTGGCGGGGGTTAAAAATATTCGCGGTTTGATGGAAATTTTCTATTTACTTACATTAAAGTTATTGTCTATTTTACCCGCTAAATATTGTCCGCTGGCCGCCCAAATTGGTAAACTTCTGCCCAGGTCTAACCTCTAACTCAATGTAAATTCCCGTGTCGTTTGGTTCATAGTTGTGGCCTATAGAGCAACTGCAAAATCAGGAAAATTTTTCAGTTTTTGGTCCATTTTAACCCCTTAATATCATGCGATCATCTCCAAAAGAAATAGGGTTCTATTCTGACCTTAACCCCACCTCCATTTTCAATTTCGTGAGGATCGGTTCATAACATGGATAGACGGACGGACGGACATACATAGCTAGATCGACTCATCTCGGCGAGATAGGAAGATCCATATATACTTTCCTATGTGGGAAACCAATATTTCGATGTGTTACATAATTTTTGGCCCAATCAAACTTATAATACCCCCAACACAAAGTGTTGTAGGGTATAATAATATCGGCTCACACTAAGAATGTACTTGCTCCAAAAAGGGTCAACATTTTGAATAACCCAAACTCTCCCACAATGCGAAATAAGCATACGATTCTCCTCAAATTTCACACATCCCAAAATTTTCGGCGAAAACAAGATCTTGTGTGAAGATGATAGATATTGATCCACTACTTTTTGTACCTCACCCAAAAGGGGTTAAAAATTGTGAATAACTATGAAGGTCATAAAATGCGAAACGAGCATCCGATTATTCTTAAACTCGGTACATCCAAATATTTCTAGCAACAACAAAATCGGGTGTGAAGATGGAATATATCGGACCACTCCTACTTGTTCTAATGGGTCAAAATTTTTAATAGTTAAGACTCTCATAAAATGAGAAATAAGATTCTCTTCAAAAATTTCACATATCCCAATACATTTAATAACGCAAGTTATGGTTTGAAGATGATAAATATAGGCCTACCCCTTTCTGATACCTCTCCCACAAAGTTTCAAAATTGTTATATCCTCCACCACACATAGTATGGAGGGTATATTAAGTTTGTAACTCATCGAAATAATATTCTTAGACATAATAAAGTATATATGGGATATATCGGTCCATTTTATTGTATAGCCCTAATACAACGGTACTGCTATTTTGATGTTTTTAGCCACATTTTTCAATAGAATTATCTCAAAATCCACCCAGGAATTTTCTTCTGAGTATCTTACCCTCTGGAAGAGAATTGTTCATATAGGTCTACAATATCGTATAGGCCCCATCATCAAAATAGATTTTAGACATATTTTTCAATGAAATTGTCTGAAAATGAACACAAGGAGTTTCTTTTGAGTACTTTATTCCCCCTGGAAAGAATAGTCTATATAAGTCTACCATATCGTATAGCCCCCTTTTTCAATAAAATTTTCTAAAAATCCACATAAGGATTTCCTTCTAAGTACTTCATCCCCTGGAAGATTGTTGTCTATAGAGGTACACGATATCGTTTATCCCAAATATAACGGTACCTCTCTATATTCGGTATTTTGATGATTTTAGCAACATTTTTCAATGGAATTGTCTAAAAATCGTAATTTTAGCGACATCATTCATAGGAGTTGTTTCAAATTTCGTAATGAGAGTTCATAATGGGAATTACAGTCTATGACAGAAAATTATCTATGCAGGACCAGGCCTTCGTAAAAGCCCCATATGTAAGTACCTCCTTATATTCGGTATTTTGATGATTTTAGCTACATTATTCATAGATTTTTTTTAAAGTTTCGTATTTCAATGACTTGTTAAAAAAGTTGCCTATGCAGGTCCACATCTTCGTATAGACTCCAATATAAGGGCTATATTCGGTATTTTTAAGATTTGAACAGAATATTTGGCGAATGTTATTATTATTATTATTATTATTATTTTTTTTTTTTTGAAAATTTTCAAGTTTTTGTCAATAAATTTATCTCTCACAAGTTGCCGATTATTTTCCAACTTGAAATATCTAATTTATGAGCTCACTTCTTCTTCTACCTCTCCCAAAAGGTTAAAATTATAATTACCAATTATTCCAAAAAAAAAATGGTAATACAGGGTGAGATGAACAAACTGCAACCATCTTCAGATGCTGTCATTTGTAAGCCACTCGCTCGACAGCTGTTAAAAATATTCCAGTGACAGCTCATAATATTGTTTTCAAGCGCACAAGCATTTTGGTGAGAATTTCCAGAAAAAAAGTTATTCGTGATTCAAGCGTGGTAGTGTGATTTCTTAATATTTGGTTAGAAAACCACAAGTGGCTATAGTTAGAGCACTCCAGCATATTAATGTGAATAAATCTTTCGTGTCTAATACCATCGCTCGTTAGCGTGGACGGAAGAAAACAGCAACATCAGAAGAAATGGTTCGAAAAGTAAAGAAGCGACTTGATCGAAGCCAGCGCCGCAGTGGCCGAATAATGGCTCGTGAGCTAAATATATCGCAATATTCCATTCGGCAAATATTGAAAAATGAGCTCGGAGTAAAGCCATTGAAATTCCAAAAAGTGCAAGAACTTACACCGCAACAGAAAGAAAAAAGACTAAAAAGGGCTAAGAGTTGCTTCGCTTGGCCGAAAGTGTTGAACTGTCGAATTTGGTTTTCTCCGATGAGAAAACATTCGTTGTCCAGCAGTTGGTATACAAACAAAATGATCGTGTTTTCTTGCCAAAGAGGTCAGCTGAAAATGTGCTCCTTCGGTTGACCACCAGAACTCAAACGTCGGCCATGGTGATGGTGGGGGCCGCCATAACAGCCGATAGTCGCTATCCGCTCGTATTAATCGACAGTGACATCAAAATAAATGCCGTAGATTATCGCGAAACATTTGCAAACATTTTGGCCGCAGACCTTGGACATTCCAACAGGACTCAGCACCATCGCACTCAGCACGCGCCACCCAAGAATGATTACAAAATGAGGTTCCTCACTTCATTTCCAGCGCACAATAGCCCCCAAAATCTCCGGATACCAATCCGTTGGACTATTGAGACTGGAGTATTTTGGAAAGCAAGGTTGGCACTAAAAAATACCAAAGTGTCGATCACCTCAAGCAAGCGCTTCGCCGGGAATGTGCCAA